TCCACTTCTTCCACTGGAGTAAAACCCGCCACCACCACCACCTGAAATACAATAAATATATTAAGATTTTTTTAGTAAACAAAAGCGAAATTTTGTTTTTAATAGGATGTCAATCCCTTCGATTTTTGGAATTTTTTTACTCGTATTTTAAAACGCTCCAATAAAACCGTAACCGGCTCGGCCAAACCTTAATACAATGCTTTTTAATTGAGCCGCTATTCGTGAGCTTTGATATTAGTATTTAGCTTCTGTAAGAGCTAACTGTATAAACGGTTTTTTTTTAACCTTTAACCTTTATTATTATTATTTGTTCACATCAGATGGTCATTACTACGCCGGCTTGCAAATAGCAAAGAGCTAATCGCGGCAAGCCAGACAGTTGACATATTTTATAAAATAAATGCAATTACAACATGTAAACATTAACCCTTTGAATGCCAACCCAGGTGCATGCCTCGCAACCAGCGGCCATATTGGATTTTTCATAAAATAATTTTACTCAACAATTTGAGCCCTTTGGCATTGTATAACTCTTTTTAGCTGCGACATTGTCCTCCTCACTTTCACTATCTTCGTTATTTTCATTCTCGCTTTCGAGTTCGTCGATCTCTTCGACTTCTTCCCCGCTTTCATCTTCATCCTCCGAGCTCGAAATACTTTCATTGTACTCTGAAACATCTCCATCACTTTCGTCGCTCATATCAGAGTCTCTATCAGCGAAAACTTCTACCAAAACTTCCTCAGCTGTCATTCGACGTGTGCTGGCCGCCATGTTGGATTTGGCAAGGATTTGCCGCGAAAATAAACAAAGCCTTCTGGGTGTTATGTTGTGCCACAGTGCAAAATTCTGTGGTCAGCGGATTCTCAAATTGTTCCCAGGTCCTTTGAAACAACCACGGATAAAAACCTTGAACGACCGAGAAAAGAAACAAAATGCTTGTCAGAGGACGTATATATACGTCCTCGGTATCTGAGGGTCCTATTTTAGGACGTATATATACGTCCTTGGCATTCAAAGGGTTAAATTTGAATATTTTTAATGGCAGTTTTCGGCCACCATACACATGCCACAGCTTACACGACCTAATTTAAGTTTAACCGCTGTACTATACACTTGTGTGTTCGACCCTCGACGAAGTTTCTCTTCTTCGAAATCTTGAAATTTTAGAATTGGAAAAGTTTTCCTTAAGGAGCCTATCAGGATCAACAACTAAGTCTGATTAAGTATGGTTATTCTAAAGATGAGGCCGATATCATTTGTCGTCCTTGTATTTATAGCAAATCTGACCGGCGTTGTCGACCTTTTCAACGAAGGCGCCTGCAACTGGAGTTGTGAGGTCGAAAATGCAAACGCCACCGGCGAAGCATTAAAGAAAGCCATGGCCGAAGGGAGACTGTTAAAATTAGCTATCATGTACAAGGAGCGAGTAGAGTCCGAAAGATGTGCCAACGAAACCAAACAGGACACAATCATCACTAATACAACTTTAAAAGTTTTTTTGAACTTCATCGACCACCAGGCGAATAGGATAAAGGACTCCATGGCGTTTATTACTCAGTCGATACTGGAAGTCATTTTTTCCGGGAAAGTTTTCACTGGAAGCTACATCGAAATGAAAGTCTCCTGTATTTCTGAGCCAACCTCTGTAAAGAACTTCTCAACAAACTTCAGTTATCAAAGATTAACGCCGCTTCACAGTCCACAGTCTATTCTGTATTATATCGAAAATCTTGCAAGCTACACCAAAACCACTTCAACCCTGGTTCTGGTGAGGGTTGATCAACACACTCGCATATCTCTTGTTACTACAAGTGCAGCAGGAAATCGAAGTTCTCACAAGGATAACGAGCTACTGACTTTTAGTGACGGTTGGCTTGCAATCGTAATAATCATTTGGATCATTTTTGCTCTTTATTCCCCCTTAATATTTCTATTGTTTCGACCTTCAAAGCTCAAAGTCAAACTGCCGGAGAACCACCTCCCTACGCCGGTAGAAGAAGCAGAAGACGATGGAGGTTACATTGAACGACGTAGACAAGAAAGTCGGCCTTCTCCTACAGAAAACGAAGACGATGAGAATAATCAGTTCAGGGCAGAGGGCGAATTCTTGCCGGAACGTAGAGATTTTGGAACGGAAGAGGCAGTTCGCCATACAATATCTAACGACTCAGGTGCTGAGCGTACACGTCTTTTTAGAGTAGGCGCTGCCACCTGTTGCTCAGTCTATAGCGATCTTGGTAATACGGATGATCACAATTCATACAGTTCACACGATGGTGCTATCGCAGATGAGGAACATGCAATAACGAACTCAAGTTATACACTCATTACACCTAGGCCGGAAACTTGCATGATTCCAATCTCTCCAGGAGCTGACGAGGAAAATAGCAGCTCTGATGAAAGACTCTCATGCATCGTTGACGGTAGGGAACAGAATCCTCCAAGGCAACCAGTTCAGCCATCATCAGTGTCTGAAACTTCCGAGGCTAATTACACACATCTAATCATTGCTGGAGACACTAACCCTATAGGAGTTGGGAGCTTCATTGGTAACCATTTCTTCTCATCATTATACCTGGGTTTAGGGTCAAAGATCGTAAGGTCGATTATCACTTTTTCTTTGCCATTTTGTTTCCTTGGGTTATGGGATTTGCCATTATTTATGTTGCCAAGCTTTCCGAAACAAATATCTGTTAATTTGCCATCTCCCTTTTTGTTTGACTCATTGTATCACAGTATCTTTAAACATCTTTCCCTGGTTGTACCGTTAGCTGTGTGTTATTTCATTCGGTTATTTTCTGTTAGTTACTTTTTAAGTGAATATTCCGAACAAACACGAATACCATGGTCACTCTATTCAAACCGCATCAAGTGTGTTTTGTATAGAGGAATGCAATTACTTTTGTCAAAGCTCACTCGATCTAGTTGTAATTCAAGTACACGCTGTCGGGGAAGGCATTGGCAATGTAGGTTATATTTCATATGTCGTCTTTTTTGCGAAGGTGTGAGTAAGTTTTTGTCGCCAGAAGATTATGAGGAGAATGTCAATGGGAAATGTTCTGAACACTTTGATGTTCCACAGAATATCTCACTTACTTTAGAAAAACAAGCGAGTATCACCGCAGACTATTGCAATTCCTTTATTGAGCTTTGTACCGGCTACAACAAGACAAATGTCTTAATGTGGTGCATTAAAATGACATTTAGCCCATTAGCAATTATACCTTTTGTTTTAGAAATTATTTGGACTTCTCCCTTGATTTACCTGTGTCATGAAAATCAATGGTTTTTGAGAGAGAAATTCAAAAACAAGTTCAAAGGTTCTTACTATGTTTGTTCTTTTTTTGATATTGTTTTTTGTGGTTTTTCGCTAGTTTGGCTTATATTGATCTGGGGTATTGGTTGTGCTGTTCCATTGGCAGTGCTTCTAATAGGTACTATAAAAAACCTTGCAAGTAACACAAATGAAATGCTTCCAGAGGTTATCATTATAATCTTTAGTGTCCATTACCTCTTGAGTTGTCATGGTGCATTTACCAACTTCTACTATGATCTGGCAAACAAACTGGCATCTTCTTACCAGAAGAAATATGATGAAAAGAACCAGTCTGAAAGAGATGACTTGATATATTATAGACTGGGAAAGGAGGAACATTCTATCAAAGTCATTCCAGAAGAACTGTTTAAGAATGCTCTTAAGGAACGTAAATTACTTGTCAGAATCAAAGTGGCATATCTCCTGGTTAAGTTATTTTTCACATTTCTTTCACTGACCTTTGTGTGGCCAATCATAAGCAGTGAAGCTGTCATGGCCCAAAGCTCTCCTGAGGGGGTGCTCGCCATTACAATAACATTTTTTGCAGTAGCATATCCTTTAATTAATAACCGTATCAATGGAGAAAAATTAGATGTCTCCACAGAGGACGTTGATAAAATCGTTGATGATTACATTAAGGAAAGAATCAGGTCAAAGCGAGGTCATGATCTTTAAAATGTACTTTAGCAAGCTGCGTCAATATGAAGTAGGAAGTAAGCAAGCGAGCAAGTATTTTTAAGTATGTGTATATTTAGTTAATAAGTAAGTAAGAGTGCTTTTCATTTGAGTGTGGTTAAACCAAAGAGAAAGTAATCGTAACAGCTAAAGAAAAGAAAAGAAAAGACCTTAAAGACCCAACAAGAACTCAAAATAACAACAAGCAGACTGCTCTAAGCGCGGGAAAACACGCTGCGTTCGATTGGTTGGGAGAGTGGCGCAAGGGTTTTTTGGACCAATCACAGAGCGAAGTAAAGCAAAACCAATGCAATCATAGACCACTTTCAACACTCACTTGAAAATTGCTGTATTTAGAAAGTAAATTACTAAGAAAGTTAACTCAATACATTACTCTATTAGCGAGGAACGTTTCTTCGATTGTAAAAATTGACTTCAACCTTTTGTGCTACATATGTAGTTTTTTAAACAAATAAACTAACATCTTGAAAATTACCTAGTAAGTTCTTGGTATGTGTTTTTTCTTGAAAAGTGAAAGGGGATGACCTTTTGGTTAAGATTCGAGGCAACAACTTCTGTGCAAGCGTTGCCGGGGTGGAATCTCTTTTTATTTCTTCGATTGCATTCTGCAGAAGCCTTCTTGGGAGTCTTAAGCAGAGGAGATGGGTATCTTTGTTGAACTTAGAATCAGTTCCCTCGTGGCAATTACTTTTATTTAGTTCGTTAAAGTGTTTTCTTGAATTGCCCATTGTCAATTATGTTCGTTCAGCTGCTCTGTTTTGCTTAGGTCACGGACGTTAATGGTTTTTGAAAGAACAATTAAAAAAAATAGTCAAAAGGTTCTATATTTGTTTTTTCCTTTCATCCGAATATTTCACTTGTTCGGATAAAATTGATCTCAAGTATGGATTACACTGTTCCACGAGGAGCGTTTATAGCGGATATTATTAGGGGATCTCAAGCAGCCGGGATTCAATCGTCAAGGAAAACGTCGGTTTAAGAATGAAATTAAATCCGGCTTCTTGTGCAAATTCACAATGAGCGAATGTCGTACTAGTGACGATGCCTGACCCAACCTTCAATATGACATGTGCACGCAGCCTAAAATTTTAATAAAAGTTCTCCAGAAAATTTTTCAATTTCTTTTTCATTACTCCGCGTTCTGGTCACCACCGTGGTTTGCTTAAGGTCGCTGTCAAATGTACATACATACATACACAAGTTAATTGACCACTCTCCATAGGGGCTTTTCAGGGCTAACACCCACCCATTCCACCCAGGGGAGGACATCCACCACACAGTAATCTCGTGCGTGGGAAATTAACGTCTCCTACCCCTAACCCTGCAGGAGACGGGGCCTACGGTTTATTCGTCCTTATCCGAGAAGACTAGAATATCTATCCATTTCTTGAT